TCAGCTGGTAGTTGTTGCCCACCTGCTTCTCGTGGCTGCGCTGCACCTGTCTGGCTCTGTTGTGTTCCTGTCCTCGTCTCTCCTTCGGCCGCTCGCCGCCGTCCTCGTAGCAACCACAGCGCCAAACACGTGCCTGGCTGTCCGCTCTCCCGGCGTCCGGGTGGTCTCTGCTTCCGCCGCCCTCTCTCTCGGATCTCTCTCGTCTCTCCCCCCGCCAAACGGTCGACGGCAGATCACCACCCCCTAGAGGAAAGGGTCTGTCCTAGGTGTCTCTGCCTGTTAAAAGGCAGTTTCTCCTTCTGCCCCTTGTGCCAAGGTCTTGCCTTCATGTCTCGCACTGTTGGTGTCTCTGTAAATGTTACACAAGGCACTTCGTCTCAGGACCCTGCTCTATTTGAAAACGTGTCCTGGAGAAAACTTCTGTTATGCAATTGCGCTATATAACATAAAACTTGAATTGAACTCTGGAATTTGAACTGAATCAAAAACGGCCTCTTCAGTTAGAATTGGATACTACAAAAAGTGTTTATTTGTGGGTGCGTACAAAGTTTACAACCACACGTACCTTTCACTACAACGTAGAAATTATATATAAAATGTCCAAACTGCCTCCCTGGTTCTACCAGGAATTCATTATAACACTTTTAAAATTACTATTAATCTGATCTTCCTAGGACATCAGTTGTCAGTGAACTGTTCAGTTTAATTCCGACGCTGGAAAAAGCACATACCCAATCGCCCCAGTTAACGACCAGGAGATGGGGCTGGTGGTGAGGGCCTGAAGGCAGATTCTTTGGGAAAGAACGCTGCGCTCTCATTTCTTCTGCTCCTGGTTGTCCAACTGATGAGCCGTGATACCAGCCACTGAGGCACTAAAAGCTGACGCACTTGAGAGTCCACTGGGGAGCGCTCTTACCTCGCTCTCGCCTTCACCCATACACCAACACAACACACACACACACACACACACACACTCTGTAACGCATGTGCGAGGACACTGTCGTTGTGGTTGCACCTTCTGCTTCATAGCAGCTTAATTCTATGAAGCTATCTGCAACTGCTACTAACTCTCTGATCATATAAAAACTTGTGTGCCTGGCATTCTCTACAGAGATTGAATCTGGTGTGATATTGTACAGTAATGCCAACCTTATCCCAGTTACACAACAAATCCCTCATAACATTACTCTACACTGTTATTATGAATGTAACAGCATATTGGGCTGTTAACTGTTGTGGCCAGGCGTAAAACAAATGATTTCGGTTAGGGAAAAGAGCATTCTGGTGGATCTTCCCACTGTTTTGCCTGTGGATCACTGCACCGAGACGGCGGCGCAACAATAACACAGCCGTGATTAAGGATATGAAAGATCATCGCCGGCACAAACTTCACTACATAAACCCAACTGCAAGGGCCCGAAGTTTTCGCCTGGGTCCATCACCCCAAACTTCTCTTTTCAGTGGAACTCTTGGTTGACTCATTATAATAACACCACTCTTTATTCGATTCGCATCCTGTCCTACCGAAGACTTGAGGCAGGAATTAATCGGTGAACCCTTCCTCGAGCCCTGCCCATCTTTTGCGCGAACCCTGGTCACACCTCTTCCTGTATTATTCTAACGCTCTTTGCGCCTCACCGTCTCTTCACCCTTCTCGACACGCACCAACCCACTATTTGCACGCCGATGGTTGACGACACGCGACAGAAATTTATAAATACAGTTATGGCTATAGCCCTACAGTCTTTAAGTGTAGCTCACTGTTCCAGAACCTCAGATCAGGAATCAGGAAATAGATTTAATACACGTGGGGAACATGTTACTTAAAAGTTCGAATTACCCTGTGTACTGGTTACCCAAACTGCATAGCTACACAATCCCATCACCGTCGTATGGCCCTAGCTATTGGCTTTCCGTCTGTGTAAATTACGGCTTGATCAGAGTCATGCGAATCTAAGATAGCCCGATGATTAAATCCGTGTATCCCGTCAGTCTACCGTACTATAACACATAAGCTAACCAGCTAAACCTAAAAAAGACTAATTAATTAAACTTTATTTGTATACGCGCGATTCATCTACACAAAGTTGGTTCAGGACACTTCTCAAGTAGAGCAGGTAAAGACTGCTGGACAGTTCTCTATCTGCATTATTGTTATTTTTTTTTTATGATTTCATGAATCGTCATCGCAAAAATCACTTGCCTGTTCGATCGTGCGTTTGGTTGCTCTCCTGATTGTTGCTGTACCATCTGTTTTCTCTCTGTCTCTTGTCTCTTCCTGTCTCTCTCCTGTCTCTCCTCCTCTCTTCGTCTGCTCTCTCGTTTCTCCCAACTGGTCAAGGCAGATGGACCCCCCACCTAGAAGCGCAAGGGTGCGTCCGGAGGTTGTTTGCCCGTTAAAGGCAGTTTGTTTCCCATTGCCCACGGTCATGCCCAAATGCTGGCTTGCTCATGGTGGGTACTG